TTCAATATTATCTTCAGGAATCATTTTTTATGAAATCAAAGTTTAATATTATTTTTAACAATACTGCCTTCTTCCCATTATTCTCCCAATGTTAAAAATGTCTCAAGCTTGAACGAACTGCTCTGAAAAAGAAAATTATCTCATTAGTTCGCGACTTGTCGATTAAATATTCTATTAATCGTGTCGGGACAATCCATTTTATTTGCTAAAAGAAAGAAAAGATATAAAATTTCGAGGTCAAAATTGAGATCCAAGTGTTTTTTCTTCTTTTTTTTTTTTTTTTTTCGAAGGGAACATCACATATTGATGGACAATAGTTATTCGCTTTATGTTCAGTTTTGTTTCAGCGCGCGATACGTTTGAGTTGAGACAAGTTGGCAATCCTTTCGATGAAAAGTCGGACGGTCGTCGCGGGCTTCCTCGAAACGGGTCAGATCGTCGATGATTATTGTGCCGCGGCGATTCTGAGGCTTCGCCGCGATTGAAACAGACCGTGTGAGACGTATCACGCTATAAACTTATTGGATTTTCCGACGCCGGCGACGAAGAAACATCATCGAGTGACAACAACAGATATACAAGTTGGCGCGCACTTGCAAATTTTCAGGGTTGCATAATTTGATAGATAGATCCTCGTTTAACTCTCATTCTCCTCAACTGTTGCTTTTTTTTTTTTTTAAGAACATGAATTGGATATCCACGGTTCAGTAGTGACTCGTGATATTTAATTTTTTCAAAAATTAAACTTTCAACGAAGAATGACGCATAAAATTATTATTGTTATATTTAAATTATTATTATTATTATGTTTAAATTATTATTGTATATTATATATTGTTATGTATATGTATTATTATATTATAATTATTATTAAATTATTATTATATTATTATTATGTTTAAATTATTATTGTATATTGTATATTGTTATTTATATATATTATTATATATATTATATATTATAATTATTATTAAATTATTATTATGTTTAAATTATTATTGTATAATATATATATTGTTATGTATATATGTTATTATATATTATATATTATATATTATATATTATATATTATATATTATAATTAGTATTGAATTATTATTATATTATTATTATTATGTTTAAATTATTGTATATTATATAATATAATTATTACTGAATTATTATTATACATAAATTAAACTTATTTTAAAAAAGCTACGAAAAACATCTAATATTTTTTAATTATATATATATATATATATATATATATATATATATATATATAAAATATTTATTGTACTAATATATATTTATTTTTTTAATTTTACAAAAATAATATACTCGTATGTATTTAGATCATTTATCTTCGTGATAATTGAATTATAAAAATAAATTAATCAACCCTGATGCAAAATTAAATTTACAAATTAAATTTTTCTTTTCATTTTCATTACTTTAAACTACAAATAATATTATTAATTTTAAATCATTATAAAATTTTATTTAATTGCAAATAATTTATGTAACATATTTAAGTAAATTTATGTTCTTACACTTGTTATTTTTATATATGAATAGATAATGATACATTCTCAATATTCATACGCAGTATGTGTGTCGGTGACTCACGAGCATAAGTGACCGTTTGACGACCTGTCACATAAATCTATCTAGATCGTTCGATCGATTATTTTATCACTGTCTGTGAATTTAAATGAACAAGTTTTATGTGAAGGTAAATTTTACATCAGGCAAGTGGCACCTGTCAATTTGTTACTTATTTCTGTTGCTGTCACTCGAATAAGTTTTATGGAAATTTTATTAACTCGAAACTCGAAGTAGTTTTAATAATTTCTGTGATTTTTTTCGTTTCACGCAAAACGTGAGCTTGAATTCTAAATTTTTCCCTATTTGTTGCAGTTTCATACAAAAGTATGAATTGGTAGAAATTTCACATTTTAGACAGTAAGTTGGTCGCGCCATTTGCTGTCGAGGCTGTCAATTGATACTTAATCAATTTAATTTAGTGCATTTGAAAAATTTACAGTCTTGCGAGACATTTTTCCTTTTCTTAAACAAATTGATCGAATTTGTCTGTTTGACGAAAGTATAATAACGCGAGTTTATTTTCTATTTCAGGTAAGAAACGTGAACAATTGTGTTAAATTCATCGCTGGTCTCTTCCCAACATCCTGGTGCTCCAAGGTAATTTGGATCATTAACAATTAGCATGAAATCCATCTGCTAAATGAGTAATAAACGAAATTTTATTTCTCCGCTGTATATTTTTGTTTTCATATATATTTTTCATTCATCGATATGCTTCTTAATTTTTAATTATGTGTATAAATTATGTATATAAATATAAATCATATATAATATAATATATGATAATATATAATATACAATATAATAATATAAATATAAATCAGTTAAAATACACACATCAGTACATAAATACGTTGTATAAATACGTTGTATAAATCATATATATTATAATATATAATAATATGTATTATATAATATAATAATATAAATATAAATCATATATAATATAATATATAATAATATGTATTATATAATATAATAATATAAATATAAATCATATATTATATATTATAATTATTATATTATTATATTATTATATTATATAATATAATATATTATATTATTATATAATATAATAATATAAATCAGTTAAAATACATACATTAGTACATAAATACGTCAGTAAAAATATAATCTAAAATAAATTAAGTTAATTGGATTGGATCGCGTAAAATGTATATGAAAGTACTCTTTTCTGGCGTTACTTTTGAAAAATTGCGTTTTGCCAGCTTGAACGTCAAACTGAGTAAATATTATTCAATATTATTCGCTGAACGTTCAAATTATTTTTGGAATTTTTCGTTATTAGGAAAGGAAAGAAATGTGCAGTGCAAAGTAAAATTAAGCAATTTCAACTTTTTCAAGATAGTACAAATTATTATTATACTGTCTCACGTTGTTGATGTTGTTCAAGGGGGTTAAGCACCAATTTTTCTATGGTTTCACACGTTTGTAAAATCGGTTATTTCATACACAGTACAATATATCTGAAATAGAAATTAGGAAATTTTTCCTTCTCGACAGAGTGCAAAGTAAAATAGTATAAAATTCGGATACAAAATAAAGTAGAGCAGAATTTAGTTTGGGAGCCTAACAGCAGGCAACGAATGATACACCCAAGCAAACAAGAGTTCGGGCAAAACGTTTATTCGCCTCGTTCGCGAATATGCGAACGAAGGAAATATGATAGAGTCAGCTTTTCTCTTTTTCAAACTTTCTCTGGTGGTTCTCGCCTGTGCATTAGGCTTTTGTACCAGGGAGACGTGAAACCGCGAATTACATTAACCTGTTTTACACCATAGAAAATGCATAGGCGCAATAGGTAAACATGCGAGCGTTTTTATATGTACAGAAATCCGTAAATATATTTATAACATATATTTAAAATACACAAAACAGTATAATGTTACTGTACACAAAACAGTATTATATTGCAAAACTATATAATATAAATATTAATATATATAATAATATATAAAATATATTTATAATAAACAATAACAATATAATACAATATAATAAACAATAACAATATAATATAATATAAACTATAATATAATATAATATAATATAATATAATATAAACTATAATATAATATAATATAATATAATATAAACTATAATATAATATAAACACGTAAAATGATATATTTGAAATAACATAATATTTAAAATATTGGAATTTTAGAGCGACCATTATAATTTGTTCATGTGTTTCAATTTTGATTCATTGACTGTGTAACGTCAGCGTATAAATTTAGATAAAAATCTGCAGCGTATACAATGCAATCATAAGTGTATAATAATTATTATATAATATAATAATATATGATATTATATAATATGTAATATAATATCAATATTATATTATTATATATATAATAAATAATATAATATATTATAAATTATATTTAATATATAATATGTTATATATAATATTGCAATTCAACTTTCGTTAAAAGAAATTTAAACTTCCCTCCTACTTTGAACAGCTCTTCTGTGCAGTTCATTTTAATAAACAAGAACTTTGTCTAGAAGGAACAAATATTTTTTCAACGAAGAAGTCAAATTACTGAACTTTGATGAAAAAGAAAAAAAGAAAGAACGATGCATTTCTATTTAATAATTCAACTTCCTTTTACTTTAAGGAATTCTACTAATTATAACAATATTATACCACAATATTAATTATATTTGTACAATACTACCCGATTTATATTGTATTATACGTATTATAATGTAATTTAATTTCGTCATTGCAATTACCAATATCATATTATTTATTATACAATCATCAGACATTATTGCAATAAATAATATGATATTGTTAATTGTAATATCGAAGTTAAATTACACACACACACAATATAATATAAATCACGTAGTATTACATGACACAATTAACATTACAATACGTTATTATATTGTTTTATTATTTAATTATTTACTTATTTTATTATTATTGTTTTATTATAATAATATATACTAATATATTACTAATATATTTATATAAGTAAATATATTTATTTAGTTTATTATTATTATTGTATTATATTAATATTATTTTATTTGAATAATATAATAATATTACTAACATATTACTTATATACTTATATAAGTAAATATATTTACTTATTATTATTATTTTATTAGAATATTATAATAATATTACTAATGTATTATTTATTTATATATTACTTATTAATATATTACTTAATATATTATTATATTACTTATTATATTTATATAAGTAAATATATTTTATAATTACTTACTTATTTTATAATTACTTACTTATTTTATCATTATATTAGAACAATATATACTAACATATTACTTACATATTTACTTATTTTATTATTACTATTGTATTATCTTTTATTCTACATCATACTATTTTGTATTATTACAATTATCATATATATTATTATTTTATCATTTCATACATATTTTATTATTCAAACATCCGAAGATTAAATTCCTTAAATTCTTTCGTCGTCTAAAACCAACCTTCCTCTTCATACAGCCATTCCTCCTTGATCATATCGGCAGCCTTCTCCGCGATCATGATAGTAGGCGCGTTCGTGTTCCCTCTGACAATTTTTGGCATGATCGAGGCGTCGACGACCCTCAAACCACCAACACCGTGCACCTTCAACCTCTCATCCACCACAGCCTCGGGATCCCACTTGGGCCCCATCTTGCATGTCCCGACCGGATGATAAATAGTCGCTGTATACTCCATCATCACGCACTTCCAGTAATCCCTCTCGCCGAACTCGAACTGTCTGCAAGCAGGCAACGGTGCGTCCATCAACCTGAAACCGTTCCTCCTGAACGACTCCGTGCGAAACAGCTCTAAAGCTGCTCGCACCCCTTCCGCCAGCACCTCCAAATCGGTGTGGCTGGTGAAGTATCCTGGATAGATCGAAGGTGGCCCCCACAGAGGATCACTGTCGTTCAGCAGCACGAGCCCTCTGCTTCTAGGCGACAGTAAGATCGGCCTGATGTTGATAGCGTCGTAGTACGACAGCGGTTCCACCGCCGTCTCCTTGTACTCGCCTGGCGCCTTCAAAAAGTCCTCCTGATTGCTCGCGTCGAATGCATACTGCACGTCGGGCACGTCCAATCCTCGCTGGTAGATCGTCTGCAGGAAGACTCCGCATGAGAGAGGGCCAGTCGCCGACAGAGGTCCTCCCTTGGCCCTCTCGTACTGGACGATATCCTCCTCCTTCAGGTAATTTTCATCCTTAGCCGTGGAGGTGAAGTTCAACGCGATCACCAGGCCATCCATCGTCACGTGGTCCTGGAGATTCCTGCCAACGGGCAACTCGCGAATCAATCTGATACCGTGTCTGTCCAACTCGTCCCTCGGCCCAATCCCCGACAGCATCAGCACCTTCGGCGTGTCGATCGTTCCAGCCGAGACGATCACCTCTTTCCTGGCGAAAGCAACGTTGAATTCCATTGCTGCGTTGTTATACGTGGCGGCGTACTCGACGCCTGTCACATGTTTCGTCCCGATGTTGCCTGTCAGTAGTTTCGTGACGTGAGCTCTAGTTTTGATGGTCAGGTTTTCGCGCGCGTGTCTAACGGGTCGCACGAAGGCGCTGTTCGCGCTATGACGCGTTCCACGGGCGGAAGTCGTCTGCAGTCTCATCACGCCCAGCTGGCTGTTCGCGTTGGCATCCACCGGCTCGTGGCCCAGTTCCTGCCACGCGTCCAACAGGATCTTCGTGTTGTCGTCGATGTACGGGAATCGTTCCACCGGCTGGTAACCACCTTCGCTGTGGTAGTGAGGATTCTCTCTCACTATCTGGGGAAAATCACGAGTTCACGTTGCGGTTTCTAGTTGTTGATTGTGCGAATCAGTTTGGCTTAGTTTTGATGAATTTATTGTTTGATATGAATGTCTTTGAATTTGATTTCGATTGAAATTATGCGCTTCATTGTGACGGAGATTTGTAATTCTTCTTACAGAAATTTCTAAACCGATTGCATGTGGGCCAATTTGTTATTTTTTGGGGGGGGGGGGGAATTTCGCAGATCTAAATGATTCTTCCATAAAATTTATAAATACAAGTTTCTATACTCTGTTGCAAAGCGAACTGTTCACTCACAATTTATTAAAACTTTATCAAGTATTTTTTAATGTATCTCTTCGCAAAATGATATTAACCATTAAATTTGTCATTAAAAATCTTTGATTTCATCAATTCACACAGAAATTCTGTCTTCAATAATTTCCGAGATATTTGACAAAATATGTTCCGGATTCTCAACTTTGAGGGTTGTTTCCAACGTCGATGATTGCCGACAAAAAAAAAAAATATGTGTCAAATATTTTTTCGGAAACTACATTTATACCAAATTTCATCACTTTGTCAGTCTGCCATTTCCCCCACTACGAAAGTTATTTTCTATCTCGTAGTAAGCTACACAAGCTACTTTCCTTATTTCCTTTCAACTTTAGCAACTATAGTAAAAATAATAATATATGTATGCGATTCATATTGTGGCCGCGACACTGTCAGTGCAATGGAGGGGAGATCGATGCAGTGGAGGGGATAGCGTTAGCGGGCGAGAAAGTGGGGATAAGTAGGCCGCCAGTTAGCCACCTCTGTTTTTTAAATCATTATTCGTCTTTTCAACAGGCAGTATTTAAAAGGAAAATAGTTTAATAATACAAAATATTTGTTGATATAAAAAATAGTAAAAGAATGAAATAAATTAATTGATTAAAATGGATTAAAAGAAATAATAATAAATTTAATATATTTAAAAGGAATAATAATAGATTTAATAAAAAGATTAAAACTAAAAATGAATTTATTATAATAATAGAACATAAATTTACGAGAAATGTAAAATCAGTCAGAGAAGTATCAAAAGGTGTGTGTATATAAAAATATTCAAAGTGGAGGAAATTCATCAAAGTCTAAATTAGGTAACTTAGTTAAAGTAGACATCATTTTTTTCAAATATTACAGTTACTTGCAAAGGCACATAAATACATAGAAATCTTACAAAAAATACAGTGTGCAGATTGTCTTCACTTTATTTGGAGTAAATGAGGATTTTTGGAATATGGATAATTTCAATTATCATTCGTTCCATTAACAGATAATGTTTAAAAGAAACCTGTGTTTTCTATTTTTATGTGTATATATTTTTGATATATATTTATAGTAAGTTTAAACATGTAATCACAGAAATCTGGACTCGTCAAAATATTGAAACAAGAGTTCATCCAAGTTCGTGAGTATAAGTTGATTGAAACAATGAAATATCTATTATTAAATCTATTATAATTTTTATAATTTTATAGACATTATATCTATTTTCTAATTCTAAGTAAATATCTATTTTAATAAATATCTGTTCTAAATTTTATAATAATAATCTGTTCTAAAAATACAATAGTATAACAATTCTTTTATTAAAATATCTAACTTTCTAAAATATCATTTTAATTTGATTGCAAATAAATTGAAAACACGAATTTGTGAGAAATATAGTTGCTATATATATAGCAACTGTTTATTATTATATAGCAATTATTATCATTTAGTTCTAGTTACAGAGTAAATTCTACTCACTTTGCAGTATGTATATATATATATATATACTGCAAAGTGAGTAGAATTTACTCTGTAACTAGAATTAAATGATAATAATACGAATACGTTTCCTACGGTTTGATACAAATTTTCATTAAATTTATTACCTCTGGATCCATGTTATTCTCCGATTTGAGAAAGTATGGTAGAACTTCTTCGTAGCTCCAACCGTGATTTCCTTCTTCTGCCCATTCGTCGTAGTCTGTTGGATTACCACGAATGTAGATCATGTAATTGATGGCACTGGAACCACCCATCACCTATAAATATGTAGGATAATTTTTAGTGAAATAAGAACACAGTTGGAGCATTGGAGTTTCCATTATGTCTAATAGATACTTTGCCCCTTGCCCACGGGCAGCCTCCACCTCTTCGGGACCGACAGGAATATTTCTCTGGTTGCGTGCGATACATCCAGTCGATGTTGCTTGCTTGCAGCATCGAGGCAAAAGCTGGAATCTCGGCCACCTCGGGCTCTTCTATGCCAGCTTCCAGCAACAATATCTGAAAATTAATGACATTTCCGAGTGAAACAGAATAAGTCGAAATATTCTACGTATCTTTCGTGTGATTTAAAGTGAAAAAAGAGAAAAAAGGAAAATCGTTCTACGTTTCCTTTTCTCTGTTTAGGTAATACCAGTTCCTCAGCCATTCTTTGTTTTTTTCTATAAAATAATAACATGATACTATAACAATATTCTGAAATATTCTTCTATAATAATATTCTGAAGTTATAGTAATATAATTTCTTTATAATAATTATATATTATAATAATAATCTTATTATTATATTATAATATGATTATATATTGAATATTCTTCTATAACAATATTCTGAAATATTCTTCAATAATATTCTCAAATAATAATAATATAATTTCTTATATTATTATATAATTAATATAATGTAATTAATTATAATAATATAATTATAATAATAATTAATAATATAAATTATATATAATAATTATATATTAATCTTATATTATTATACAATAATATAATATTCTTCTCTAATAATATTCTGAAATATTTTTCAATAATATTCCAAAATAATAATAACAATATAATTTCTTATATTATTATATAATAATTAATGATATAAATTATATATAACAGTTATATAATAATCTTATATTATTATATAATAATACAATATTCTTCTCTAATAATATTCTGAAATATTTTTCAATAATATTTCATAATAATAATATTATAATTTCTTATATTATTATGTAATTATATAATACTTAATAATATAAATTATATATAATAATTATATAATAATCTTATATTACTATAATAATATAATATTCTGAAATATTTTTCAGTAATATTCTAAAATAATAATAATATAATTTCTTTATATTATTATATAATTATATAATAATTAATAATATAATTTATATATATAATAATAATTGTATAATAATCTTATATTATTATATAATAATATAATATTCTTCTCTAATAATATTCTAAAATATTTTTCAATAATATTCTATAATAACAATATAATTTCTTATATTATTATATAATTATATAATTAATGATATAAATTATACAATTATAACAATTATATAATAATCTTATATTATTATATAATAATATAATAAACGAACGATATAGTAATCTAAAATAATAATGTCTCTGAGATAATAAGAATCTCAGTATTAATAGTATTCGAATATAAGCAGAAAGTTACCTAAAGGATTGACTTGAGTTATATTTAAATATTTATATGATTAACAATCAACAATTGTGTGCAATTTATACAGTTGTAATTAAGTATTTTATTTTATAATAAAAATTTAGGTATATTTAAATTACCTAAACGGCAACTTTGTATTACGATAACTTAAATAAATTTTCAGTGTTAGCCAAATATTTTTGTTTAGCAGAAACACTAAATTTCATTCTATAAACAGAGAGAAATTATTTATAATCACGTTTAAAATGCCAGTGATTGGAATTTCCTCTTTCTAATAAAATTTGAATGTTCAATGTGAACTATGAATTGTAGAAATTATTATTCACTATACTATTGTCTTTAATGTAATTAAACTGCAGATTTTGAAACTAAGTATAACTACAAAAAAAAAAAAAGAAAAATGGAATCTATATAGACGATTGTTTTATTTATTAGTTATCGTAACGAGCATTATATTTCGACATATATCATTGTACACTACGTATTCTTTACGCACTTTTGAAACTTTTGCAATTTTCCATAATTAATTAAAAGTAAAATCGTATTTATGACGATCATTGAAACGCAAAACATAGAAATTCTGACAGTTGTAACCTGTTTCTACAATGTCGATTTTTAATATTTTTATAACAAAACTTAAACTATTCGATATTGGAAAGTGAACATGAAGAAATGTCCATTTTAGAAAAGGAAAAAAAAACGAGAAATATTCATTCCGCAACAAAAGTAAAAATAAAAGATTCGTCACAGGTCACCGATGATCGATGACATTAAACTGGTTTAGAAATTATTCGATGATTGACAAAGAAAATCTCTCATTTCGCAAAGATCTAGTTTGAAACACGAGTAGATCGAGAGATTGTGCGTTTCTTCTCCATTTTTTGTGTTCTTTTTTTTTTTTTTGTTTTTTTCTTTATAATTACTCGACGAGTTTTCGAACTGGATCTTTTAATAAGTCAAGAGTCGAACAGAAAGTGTCGTATTCTTTTTCCTTCTTTTTTTTTTTTTTTTTCTTCCCCTAAAGAAATTGCATTTGCATCGTTTCTAAACTGATTGCATCACACGTGTCGAGAACTAGAACGTATATCTATAAGAAATTATGTTTTATACTGTTTTTATGTTCTTACGTGAGTGAACAATCTGCGTATTATTTATCTGAAAATAATCTTCAGTTTGATTCCGTTTGGTTTGACGGTAAATTATTTAATTTGATTCGTTGGTGCAAGTATTATATTTAATTCGTATAATATTATTTGTTATGGTTAATCATAGAATTGTTGATATTATTGCTGATGATTATGATTGTATATTATATTATATATAATATTAATATAATATTATATTATATTAATAATAATATTAATATAATATTATATTATATTAATAATAATATTAATATAATATATTATATTAATAATATATTATATTAATATTATATTAATTATATCATTTATATTAATAATAATATTATATTAATTATATCATATTATATTAATAATAATAATAACTGTAATGATTATGATATATAATATTATATTTATATTATATATAATATAATATTATTTGTTATTGTTAATCATAGAGTTCTTGATATTAATTGTGATGATTATGATTGTATATTATATTATGTATAATATAATAATAAATATAGATATAATATTAAGTAATAATAATAATATGTAATATTTAATATACAATATCATGTAACATATATTTAATATATTACATCATTATCTTATATTATTATTATATTTTTATATTATTATATTATAATTATATAATTATAATATAATATAATTATATAATCACTGTTACATATAATTTAATAAGAAATCAATAATTTCAGTACAAATCGTAGTTTACGCAGAAGAATTAGAGAAAGATCATAGTAATTTGTATTTTCAAAATTTCATTGTAAAAAAATTCTTTTATCCAATTGAAATTCGGAATAATTTCCAGAAAAATCACGCTGTAGTACCGGAGTAAATATAATTATTAAATTACAGATAAGAAATTGCAGAAGATGCACATAACGTGAAAAAAATACACATATTCAGAAAATAATTTTCAGTGTGATGCATTGTGCGAGTTTTTGTGAATTCGCGGGAAATTTTAAACAGCGAAATTACACGCAATGCTCAGAATATGAAAAGCTCTTACTTCCAAATACATTTGGCTTTCTGTAATATTTCAAATATGATATTAATATATTCTATAATATTTAAAATAATATTAAGAATATTAAAATATTACAAACAATATTAAATATTAAATTTAAATATAATATTTAAAAATAATGTTAAATATTAAAGTTAAATATAATATTTAAAATTTAAAAATAATGTTAAATATTAAATTTAAACATAATATTTAAAATTTAAAAAGAATGTTAAAGATTAAATTTAAACGTAATATTTAAAATTTAAAAATAATATTAAATATTAAACTTAAATATAATATTTAAAATTTAAAAATGATATTAAATATTAAATTTAAATATCCAGAAATATTTAAAAACATAATAATATACAAGATAATATTTAAATATATTTAAAAATATAATAATATTTAAGATAATATTTATATTATTTTAAATGTTAAACATTTAATATCTGTAATATTGAAAAAATATTTTTCTTCGTAATATCCAACAAAATCTATAAAATCCAGCTTCCTTGGTTAATTCTTTAGACATTCTTGAAAACATAAATTTTCATAAGTGTCTGTCGTTTTTTGTCGATCGGACTGCGTATTTTTTGGGAATATAATTGAAAAAGATAATAATTATAATCTCTGAATATAATTAAAAAGAACCTAGGTAGAAAATTGTTTATCCTGCCAATTGTTACGAGAAGCATTGTACTTTGAATATTTCACATTGCATATTTTCATGCTTTGATTATTTCTTATATTTCTTCATATTGCCTTCACTCTCTGCAATTTTGTATCTTTAAATCTCTCGTAAATGCAATGTTTGACGAATAATGACGAATAATGAGTAAACAAGTACCTTCCAATGTTTTATTTCGCTTAATCTGTTCGCAAGAACGCATCCGGCTGATCCAGCTCCAACGATGATAAAGTCGTACTCATTCTCGCGAGAATTCGTTTCCTCTACACGTGGCGATTGTCTTTCTTCGTCCACGAAAATTCTTTGCAATCCACGTGGATTATGATTTGGATCGCTCAGTTGGCTTTCGAAAGGGAATGAACGTGGATATGAATTTGTAAAGTGATATGTCCATTGATGTTTGTCAGAAAGTCCTCCTGTAAATAATTAATAATCGTTGAACAGAACACATTATTTATTACATAGATAATATATTACATAAAAAATTACAAATAACAAAATATAATATGTATAACATAAACAGTATAATAGAGTTCTCGTTGCAAGTTTAATACTAATTGTAAAGATCATGTAATATGTATAGCAAATTAAAAATGCATTTATACATTGCAATAATATGAATTTTGATAAGTAAACTAATTATCATGATCATAGTATTCTAGTTACAATAACATGATTACAACAAACTGCTCAGTAGGATTATTAAAAGTCTACAAGATTAGTATTAAGGGAAAATAATGATGCAGTATATAGCAAATTAAAAATGCATTTATACATTGCAATAATATGAATTTTGATAAGTAAACTAATTATTATGATCATAATATTCTAGTTACAATAACATGATTACAACAAACTGCTCAGTAGGATTATTAAAAGTCTACAAGATTAGTATTAAGTGAAAATAATGATGCAGTATATAGCAAATTAAAAATGCATTTATACATTGCAATAATATGAATTTTGATAAGTAAACTAATTATTATGGTCATAATATTCTAATTACAATAACATGATTACAACAAACTGCTCAGTAGGATTATTAAAAGTCTACAAGATTAGTATTAAGTGAAAATAATGATGCAGTATATAGCAAATTAAAAATGCATTTATACATTGTAATATGAATTTTGAACCTCTGATGAATAAACTAATTATTATGATTACGACACTGTGGTTATAATGATAATGATTATGATAAATTGCCTTCAGATATTTTTATTTTAAATAGGAAACGAATAGGGATGACTTTTTGTTAAATTTCGGTTTTGATTTTGATGTTGGTGTTGTTTCGTAAATAAGATTTTCTAGATATTACAAATATATTTATGGAGAACGATTGAAAATTATGTGGTCACAAAAAGATAATTTTAGAAAAAAAATTTATGATGTACATAGAAGAAGATAGAAAATTTTTAGAAAATATTCGAGTTTGGAAATACTTAAAATTATCTAATTTCACACTGGATAGTCTTGAGTAATATGGTTTTTTTAATGAAATTATTGTTATAAAATAAAATAAAATAAAATTATTTTTATAAAATGAAAATATTTGTAAAATATTTTTATAAAAAGCAACAAGTAAATAATAATTACATTAAATATAATATTTTATCGAAAATTATTAATTACAATTTAAAATCAAACTATGTTGGAAGTAAGTAACGATGAATAAAAATAAATAACAAAAGATTGAAGAATATAATTTTGAAGTTACACAAATTGTACTGCATTATGTTACATTGTATTACATCATTATATTTTATAAATTCTATATATTTGCATTGCGTCCGTCACACAACTTTGGATCAACCGGATTATTCTAACAAATAACGTGTGTCGTATTAGATAACCATAATTGACAGATAATTGCGATAAGTAAACATGCGGACGAATACTTTCACTTATGTTAGTCACAAGTTGGCTTGACACGGTTATTCTCGATTTGCGTGCAGAAACAAGTCGCAATGCATTATTACATATGAATGCGGTTACGTTTCTCGCTTAATAAATTCTGAAATATCGTGTTAGGCACAGTGACACGAATTTCACGCTTCGTGCCGCGAATGTATCGCTTTCGTTCGCGATCCACGAAGTTTTCTGGTATACCAAACTTCGTTTAGCAAACAAATAGAATTTACAATGTTCCGAGGAGACACTTGACCGAAAGATCACTCATACTTACATAGAAAAATAAGAGTAAGTTTTCTACTTACTCTGTTTAAACTCGAGGCTTGAGATATATTTCAACTCGTAATTCGTATCATTGATTATTAGGAGCCACAAAGATTTAATACCTGTCACATCGATTAATTTCGAAATTTTTAGCCTCGTTCAATTCCATTGGATTTTTTTTTTTTTTTTTTTTTTTTGAAAGTTAAAAAAAGCTATATTATGATTGGATTATCTGGCAGAAAATTGTTTCACGTTCAAGATATGTATTAATTATTAATTCAATCGAATTTATCAATTGACAAATGAAATTGATCAATTGTTAAATTACTGGAATTTGTTGATTAATAAATTGATCGAATAGAGAGAATATTATATTATAACTTATATGATGTTATTATTTTATTATAATATTGTTATGTTATGATAATAATTATTATATATATTATTATATTATAATTATTATTATTATTATTATTATATATATATTATATTTTAGTTTTATTATATATATTATTATATTATTCTCACGTATTAAAATTACTCTAGCGATGAATATAATAGTGCAAATTATTCGACTAAAGAAAACACGTTTATTTGATTAATTATTTTAAATGAATTCGAATAATTTCTTCGCCGAATAAATTCGAATAGTTTCTTCTCTAATTATTCTGAATAAATTTATTTTAAATCAATTCGGATAGTTTAACTTTCTGTCTAATTATTTTAAATAAATTCGAATAGTTTCACTTCTTTCCTGATTATTTTAAATAAATTCGAATAGTTTCACTTCTTCCTTGAAATCCCATATTTCCCAACGTGAGGTTTCCACACCTCATTGGACAGCAATTTGATTTTCTAGAGGGGCAATTCGAGAATAAATTAACCGTGATTTTTTTCCGTATTCCTTGAAACGAAAATTTAACTTTCTAAATTATTTATTTTTCTTTTTTTCTTCTTTGGAAGCTTGTTTGGACCGTTTCAGGCTCCCTTCAGAAAAAGTCAATAATTCACTTTTTGAACAACAAGAGTTATGTGTTACAGGAGTAGCGTGTCAGTATTTTACCTTTAGGCCAAAAGGAAACAGAGATTGCTTTAATCCAAGAATGGTGAACGACTTTACAGATGGTGCAATATAATTTCGAAAAAGAAAGTACACACGTCGATCGATTCTTTTACCTCGCTTGAAATCATCATAGATCGCAGCCAACGCGCTGATTGGTCTCGTTCTCGGACTAAAGTCGTAGATCCCTTCGATATTCACCGTCGATCGCCCCTTTCTCTCTTGAACCACTCGACTATCGTCGAGTCTCGTAGAAAACTGATAACTGTACGTTTCATCTGTCGACGAATTTTTGACATTGTCGCCACTGTAGCTAAATAGTAACTCTGGCGTCGATCTCGCCGATTCTTCGACGTGGCGAGATGAACGATAATAAGGGCGGTCGTCTTTGGAACGACCGAAGAGATGAGCGACGAGCGTGAGAAACATGAACGTGGGTTGTTGACAGGTTGACACTGTGGAGTGTGGTGAGCAGAGAGTCGCTAGGTTTGGTGGTATCCACGACATCCTTTTTCTTTCTTTCCTTTCTCTTTTCTTTTCTTTTTTTTTTTTTTTTTGGAGATGATGATTGTTCTTGGTTCTCTAACGTTCAGATGATGATCCAATTGTTTGCTGAGAACTATAGTAATATATTGTATAGTATTACTATAAGTATTTTATATTATATATTAATAGTATTAAGTATTATATATTAATAGTATTAATATATAATACTTGTAGTATTGTAGTAATATATTGTATAATATTACTATAAGTATTTTATATTAATACTATTATATATATATATATATATTAATACTATAAGTATTATATATTGTATTATATATTAATACTATAAGTAATATATATTATATTATATATTAATACTATAAGTATTATATATTAAAAGTATATTAATACTATAAGTGTTATATATTAAAAGTATATTAATACTATAAGTATTATATATTAAAAGTATATTAATACTATAAGTATTATATATTAAAAGATTATTAATACTATAAGTATTATATATTGAAAGTATATTAATACTATAAGTATTATATATTAAAAGTATATTAATACTATAAGTATTATATATATTAATACTATAAATATTATATATTAATACTTATAGTAGTAGTACAATATATACTATAATATTATAACTATACTATATATATTACTATAATACTATAGTAATATATTGTATTTATTAATTTATCGTACAATATATTGTGTTATATTATTGTATTAATATAATCTATTAATATATTGAAAATTTGAAATTTAATTAAAGAAAAATTCGAGAATTCAAAATTTAATCAAAGGAAAATTCGAAAACTCGAAATTTAATTAAAAGAAAATTGGAAACTTTGTAATTTAATGAAAGAAAAATTCCAAATTTAGTTAAAGGAAAATTCGGAAATTCTACATTTAATTGAAGAAAAATTCGAAAGCTCGAAATTTAATTAAAAGTAAATTCGAAAATTTGAAATCTAATTAAAGAGAAATTCGAAAATTCGAAATTTAATTGAAGGAAAATTCGGAAATTCTACATTTTATTGAAGGAAAATTCGAAAACTCATAATTGCAAGAAAATTCGAAAATTTGAAATTTATTTAGAGAAAAATTCGAAAGTTCGAAATTTAATTAAAGGAAAATTCGTAAAGTCAAAATTTAATGAAAGAAAAGTTCGAAAATTGGAAAATTAATTAAAGGAAAATTCGAAATTTAATTAAGAAAACTTCGAAAATTCTACATTTATTTGAAGGAAAATTCGAAAATTCTACATTTAATTCAAGGAAAATTTTTTAATTCTACATTTAATTAAAGGGAAATTCTAAAATTCTACGTTTAATTAAAGGAAAATTCCAAAATTCTACATTTAATTGAAGAAAAATTCTAAAGTTCGAACTTTAATTAAGGGAAAAATAACTTTACAGATTGTCGATTTCACTATCCACTGTCAAACATTTCCCAGATCACAAACAAGCAAATAGCAACTTAAACTTACATTACCTAAAATATCGCGACACTACTACATAATAAAACAACACTCGTTTCAACTTTCTCTGAAAAATATATCGCACATTACTACACGCAGTTGCACGTTGATATATAAAATGGACGCGATTTAAGTCTCGATCGAAACTGCAAGTCGAGCGAGAAGTCTTTGTTGCCAACCATCGACTGTTGATGTGAGAACGAAAGTCACTTTGTTGTCGTAGACTGATGGAACGTTGTTTCTTGCGACGCCCCTCTGTTTCTCCGTGGTTTTTGCCATGCTTTCGTTCATTGGTAAATCAATTTCACCTTCGTTTCCTGGTGTTTCGATTCTAAAGCCGCAAAATTGGCGAAATCCACGCCTCGTTCGTTCCTTCTGCTTTTGTTAATTATTTGCAGCTTAAACCCTAGAGAAATTCGATTTCTCTCACAACGAGTAAGTACAATATATGCCCCTCTGGGATTTTCACTGATAATTTGTCTCGTTAATTTACATATAAAAATTTGAAAATTAAAAATTCGAGATATAACACTTCTCTCAAATGCGGCAGGAATTTCTTTTATTTTTTATCAGAAGACAAATTGCTATTGAAATAATTTCAAAGTAGTCAGCCAACATAATTTCAAATTAATTTCCACGTTCAGTAATTTCTTATTGTCGAAACGGCATGCAATCAATTTATTCGCGAATAATGATTCATGTGGATCATAATAATTAGATTGTGAATTTTTTTGAACGCTTTCGTAGAAAACTTTGAAACGGAAGATTGCACATACGTAATGATTGTAACGTGGTCAAAGTGTTCATCGTTCAATAATAAAATGTATACCATATTCATAATATTGTTGTTTGACAATAATTTAGTAAAACATATTACTAATATTAATTGTAATGTTAGAACCTTGATAAAAATTATTATTACATTAACATGAAAATACAATATTTTATCATATTCTCGTATACAAATATTATATTTATATCATATCACATTACATTACAATACACATATGGAACTTCTTTAGAATCATTATTTATTACTATTAAATTAAACTATTGTTATATCGGTCTCAGAATAACTCCATTATATTTTATATAATTTTTACATTAACATTATACATAACATCACAATGCATATAGTACAGCGATTCGAATCAGACCGAAAGAACGCAGGTATCTAACAAGCTATTAAAGTTCGACACGCTCTTTCTTCGTCCAGTCCTCTTTCACCAAGTCCGCTCCCTTCTCCGCGATCATCATAGTCGGCGTGTTCGTGTTCGCACTGACGAGGTTCGGCATGATCGAGGCGTCGACCACCCGTAGCCTCTCGATCCCGTGTACTTTCAACCGAGCGTCGACAACGCTCCTCGGATCATCAGCCGGCCCCATTCGAGCGGTGCCAGACGCGTGAAACAACGTGGTCGCAAGATTCCTCGCGTTACACTCCCAGTACTCCACGGAATCGGGCACAGTGTGCTTACATCCAGGAATGTCCAACACCACCAGCCGCATCCCGTGCTTTCTCATCGTCTCGGTGTTCACTAACGACTTGACAACGTCCACGGACTTCAACAACGTCTCCAAGTCTTCCCTCTCGCGAAAATAATTCGAGTAAATCCTGACCTGATCGGCTGGATCGGCGCTTCGCAGCTTGATCGCTCCCCGGCTCTTAGGATTCAATAGAACGGCGAGAAAAAAGAGAACGTCGGACTCCATGAGGGTTTTCCTCATTTCTGTCGCTACCTCGTCGTTTAGGTCGAAAAGTTGGGTCGTCAGAGTATCCATCACGAACGTGCGGTAACGTGAAACGTGAAAGACGTGGAACTGAATGTCTGAGTAATCGGGACTCTGGGGATGGTTCACGTTCACGAAGCCTAACAGGTTCATCCCCAAAGTGGCCAAATCGCCGGATCTGTTGATCAGATACTCGTAAGCGATATCCTGCATGAAGTTCGGCGATGGAGGGCTGACGGATTCGTTCACGAAGGCTATCTGCGTGCCGGTCCAGCTGACGTGATCCTGAAGGTTCTCCCCGACGGGTAGATCGACCACGGTCCTTATCCCCATCTCTGTCAGGTGCTCCTTAGGCCCGATCCCCGAGAGCATCAGTATCTGGGGGCTGGCTATGCTTCCCGCAGAGAGGATCACCTCCTTCGACGCTTTGACGTCCACCGATCGGTTGTCCTTCAACGTGACACGGACGCCAGTTGCTCGGGTATTTTCCAGCAGGATCCTGTCCACTCTGGCGGACTTCATCACGTGAAGATTCTTCCTGTGTTTGATCGGCGAGAGGAAGGCTCTCGCGGCACTCATGCGACGCCCTTCGTCCAGAGTGGCCATCATTCGTCCGAATCCCACGTAACGATCGCCGATCAGAGGCTCGAGCACGTCCAGCCCTAACTCGCGCACCGCGTCCAGGACTATGTCACTCGACAGCGTATAGTTGTAGCTTCTGACGTTCATCGGGCCACCTGTTGCGCAGTGTCTGCGGCCGTACTTCAACACGTGCTCCCATGGACAGTTTAGGAACTTTCTGAAGTAGGGGAGCACCTCCTCGTAGCTCCAACCCTCGTTGCCGAGCTCGGACCACGTGTTGTAGTCGCGATCGTTGCCGAACAGGTGTATCATCGCGTTGAGCACCGAACTACCACCCAGCACCTTTCCCTTCGACCAACGACACCGCTTGCCGTTGATGCTTTGGCAGATTCCCTCCTGGGGCTCGGCCTTTGAGACAGAAGAGACGGTACAACTTTGTCGATTTTTTTCAGTGGCAATTTGGATGCGTAGTGTAACATAACAATAGTACTGTATTGACGTGATAACGTATAGTATACATAAATTAACCCTTTGTACATTAACCCTTTGTACTTGTCGAGTGTGACATC